AAATCATTTGTTTGTTTGAATTATTCAAATCATTTGTTTGTTTGAATTATTCAAATCATTTGTTTGTTTGAATTATTCAAATCATTTGTTTGTTTGAATTATTTAAATAAATTATTTATTCAAATTGTATCATTCGTTTATTACTCAAATTGTTATCACTTGTTTATTATTTGAATTGTTATCATTCTTTTATTATTTGAATTGTTATCATTCTTTATTATTTGAATTGTATCATTCTTTTATTATTTGAATTGTTATCATTCATTTATTATTCAAATTGTTATCTATCATTCGTTTATTAGTTGAATTCTTATTATTTGTTTATTATTCAAATTGTTATCATTCTTTATCATTCGAATTGTACTATTCGTTTATTGTTATCATTCGAATTGACATCATTCATTTATCAATCAAATTGACATCATTCATTTATCATTATAATTGACATCATTCATTTATCATTTGAATTGTTATCATCATTCATTTATCATTTGAATTGTTATCATCATTCATTTATCATTCGAATTGTACTATTTGTTTATTGTTATCATTTGAATTGACATCATTTGTTTATCAATCGAATTGACATCATTCATTTATCATTCGAATTGTTATCATTGTTGTATGTGAAATTGAAATTATGTGAATTTGAAATATTATGGAGTGGGGTGAAATTCTGATTGGCTAATTTGAATTTCACACATGTAAATTTGAATTTCACGTATGTGAATTGCGAATTCACATAATTTCATTTTCACATACAACATCATCATTCATTTATCATTCAAATTGACATCATTCATTTATCATTCAAATTGACATCATTTGTTTATTATTATTATTCAAATTGACATCATTCATTTATTTATTATTTGAATTGTTTATTCAAACTATTTGTTTTGCTTGAATTATTCATTTTATTTCATTTATTTGTTTTATTGTTCAAATTGTTGTCATTTGTTTATTCGAACTATTTGTTTATTTATTTTATTCAAACTATTCATTTATTCGTTTTGTTTGAAATATTCGAATTATTTGTTTTACTCAAATTATTTGTTTTACTTGAATTATTCATTTTATTCAAACTATTTGTTTATTTGTTTTGTTTGAAATATTCGAATTATTTGTTTTATTTGAATTATTTGAATTATTATTATTTTTTTATTTGTTTTATTTGTTTTATTTGAATTATTCATTTAATTTATCTTTTTTGAATTATCAAATTATTCATTATTCATTTTATTCAATGTAATTCAAATACT